CTAGAAGGCGCTGTGTTAATTGTCCAGGTTTATTTATTTAATTTTCGTCTAAGAATTCGTTAGTGTCAATTATACAGTATTGGATTAATATTTATTTTTATTTGCTGTTAATGTGAGATGATCTTAAGCTATATATTTACATAAAAAGGGCCGACAGTAAAACAGAGTTGCTGGTTTATTAACATATCTGGGTGCTACTTTGTCACAATTAGATGTAAAGAAAGTGGGTTATTCATAGTGGGTAATGTTGGTTTGTGCAATATCATCGCATATTTGTGTTATATTGTGTTTTGTAGGTTATTTTTGAATAAGTAACTGCCATTAGGCCCAGTTGTGTTTGTGGTGTTTTCTTAAATTCGTATAAAACATATAATTTTAATTTAATTGTTCATCCTTGTTCCATTTATTGAATAGTACTTTTATATTTTGTTCTGTATAAAAATGATTTATCAATTTCGTTTAAATACACATATTATTTATTATATATTTAATAAGTAATATACATTAAATACGATCCATAAAAACGAAAATTATACTGTAATATTTCTAAGCAGCACATTTATATTTGTGTAAGATAAAATTCCAGAAGTAACCTGTGGTCTTAAATACGCCATATAAAATAGAGCTTTGACCTAAGATATAGCTAATCACGGGTTGGTTAGATTTTTAATATCTTGGGTCAAAGTCAAATACATTATAATTTTCGATTATCAATATTAAGCATTACATTTATTTGACATACAGTCATTAAATACAAATGTGGTATATACCTGCTATGGAGTATCTCCTACAACTACTATTTAGTTCTGTATATTTATGTGTAGATATAATAAATGATGTTTTCGTTAATATTTAATGGATTTAGTTGGTTATATTTTCAATCGTCAATATTTATATTATATATATTTAGTTTCGATTGATATTCCGTTTGCATGTACATATTAAAATGTATTTGTAAAATAGTGTATTGGATACAATTTAGTCCCGATACTGCATCACGCATCACCCACCACCCTATACAGATGTTCATATAAATTCACCGTGAAATTTCACCCACCACATTCGAAGCAACTCAGTTGATACGATTGCAGTTTGTATTCTCGATCAACCCAGCACCGGTTGTGTTGTGATTACATAAAACTAGTGTTTGTTTTTTATATCAACAACGAAAATGGCATTAAAGGTAAGATCAATGTGTAATGAGATTAAGAATGATTTTTATTTCTTGAATATAGTTTAAAATTTAGTAGATTACTTTGATGTTATTAATTACATTTTTTTTTTATTTCAATACTATATAAACTAATGGAGTTGAATAATATATAATGAAAATATATGACCAACATATAACTGCAATATTACTACAACGAAAATCTACATGATTTCTGCTTTATATACCTGTATACTGAACCATGTTTAATAATTTTACGACAATAACCTAGAGTCTGTAGGGTAATATATATTTTATTACTGATTCATTAAATTATTATTGAAATTAGGTAATCAAGAATTGTTTTTAAAAAGTCGTGATTAATGGTAGTTGTTACTGATATCAATATAATATGCCGTTTCGTATTATTAATTTATTTTGGAAATATTTAATAGAAGTTTTCTATAAAATTGTTAATTAACAGCCAAGCAAGTTTGTAAGTAGAGTCCATCACAACTTGGATCCTAGTTATCTTTGTCACAATGTGCTTGGTTATTTATACTGATCCAAATATATATATTAATCTCTACATACAAATACATCATTATATATTTTATATAATTATATTTAATTATTATTTCAATATCTTATAAGTTTATTAGTCAAATTTAAATGTCAGATAAATTATGAATTTTCCAAAAACTTGTGATATGTAGTAAAATTTGTACTATATGTGAAATTTTACCAATGAATTTATGGAATATTTATATATATGCACAGTCTGTGCAGAACTAGGATGTAATATTATGTAGATATTTTGGTGTCCAAAATTAGTGACTGATTTCATTTTTCGCTCCAGTTATAGTAATTATAGTCGTACTACGTACTCACTGTAGCGTTTTGTTCAAAAACTACAATGAATTCCAATGAAAATGGAGTAGATACATGTTGAAATATCAACTATTACGTGTACATATATAATACTACATACATTACCTAATTCTTTATTGGCTTGGTAATAGTATGAACTTTACATGAAACAATCAGATACGTATCTACTAAATATTCTCAATATATGTAAATCTGTATATATCTCTATCATTTAATGTTGTAATATAATTACTGATTGATATTAAATTAGTACTAACACAGATAATATATGGTACCACAGATAATATAATTAGTACTAATAAGTGAATGGAACTATAATAATTAGAAACAATTGGTTTTATGGGACTAACTCACAGTGGAATTCTTGATACGAACAATGTTACAATTAAACAATGAGATCGATACGTCTGCGGTTGAACAAAGGGATGTTTTTACATGATCACAGTAACTTTCATTACGCTAGTTATAATAGTTACGTGAATTGTTTTTTGTCGACTATTATTTGAACTCACTTTTGTTTTCACTTGAACTATAATTGAGCATTCTCATGTTATGTTTTGGATCTGCGAATTTTTTTTGTATTTTTTATTGGATGATAATGTATTGGAGCACCCACTGTATTAATGGTATACGCTGAGTGGGCACCAGTCCAGTTAGTCCATTGTGACGAGTTCAATCCCAATATAACCACAATGGTTTCCATTACGAGTACTGTCCCCCATGGATTGATTAGCTTGTAGATCGAAAGGTTCTTAGTTAATTAAGAATTTAATCATTATGTATTATTTTGATAGTAACAATATGGTAATAATGTTTAACAGTATAATTTACTTTGTTATTAAACTATACAATTACTTAAATTTTTTACTAGATATACTATGCTTAAATATTTAATTTATTTCTTGGCGAGATGTCTTGCAAAATTCTTTAACTTTCTTCTTAAACGCAGCTTGTTTACTTCTATTAGTATCTATAACTATTTAACGACCTTATTTTTTTTAAATAATGTTAATAGTAATGTATATATATCACGGAACGCAGCAAATTCTCTAAATGAAATGCCTGACATGGTATATTATTTAGAATCAGGTAATAATGAAATGTAAGTAACGTGGATATCTGTAATTTTGTTACTGCACTTTACAGCAATTATTAATTTAAAGTTTACGTGAATAACTATCCTTCCTTTAGCTATTACTAATTAATGATACTTGATTGGAGGCAGTATGTGTTAGCAATTACTTGATATTTTAATGACTGGAATATAAATACAATGCAGCCAAAATAATGAACCCATAGATGGAAAGTGGCAACCCTGACTGCTATGGATGGTCCTAAATGTACTTTTGTAGTACCTGAAGGATATATATTGAACTTATCTATGCCTATAATATTGTGGTTATATTATCGTTGTTGAGTTTAGTTGGCATAATATCATACCTATAAACTAGATGAATGTAGTTGTTGTTTTCTGTGACTTCGAATAAGTTGCTTGAGATAAATTGAAACCGATGTCCGTCCTTGTGATGCAATTAGTCGTTTAGTTGAGAAAATGTATTAAATAGTCAGAGAGATACATTGTTGTATTTATAATATTAAGACGGATAGTATGGATTTTATGCAAGTTCAATGTTCACTTATAAATCTTATAAAACATTATTATCTGCTGTCTTACAAGTTACAACAATTATTTTTATCAGAATATTAGTCTTACAAGCAAGTCAGGTGCATTAAATAAGGAAAAGATAAAATTTGAGTATAGAAAAAAATACCTACTTAAACTTTTGTATGACAATTTAAAGTATTACGAATGGCATCTGAAATGATAGTAGTTAAATTTTATCATAATAAAGAGCTCGTTTCACTTTATAAGGAAGTAATCAAGCAATATAGTATCAATCAATTACCTCTTGCATAGTAAGTTTTTCTTAGAGCAATTACGACGATAATCTATTATGGTTCATTCATTGCCGGGGTATGAAATTATAACGTGCTATGTATAATTAAATTCTTCGATAAAAATCACTTTCTGTTGTAATATCAATACTCTAACTAAATTCATTACTTTTACTATTAGTTTATACCCACAGTTTTTAATTAAATGCGACATATACAATAAAATATATATATAGATAAAAATGGGGGTTTCCTCTTATACATGTTAATATTTTGAATGAAGGTAAGGTAAGGTAGGTTTAGAATTATTAGTAGATATTTAGAATGATTAATAATAGGTTAATGCCGATTTTGTGTGTTGATCTAAATTACGACTGAGTTATGGTAATGATAATAACTGATGAAGATAGAGAATTACATCTGCTATAACATATCTATGTGCTGATTTTTATTATATATAGTCACTAATCATACATGCACAATCTTAAAGTTAGTGTTTCATTTTACATTTATTATGACGCCAATATATTCTTAGGTTTTATTTTTGGAATGGAATGTATATTGTTTAGTGCACATACAAAAAGAGTGGTGAAATGGGAATAAAGAAAACACATATAAATAAGGAAAACTGTTAAAACGTCTAAAACTTAATAATAACAAGAAAAGTAATATATAAAAAACTTTCTTTAACCGACTTTCTACTTTAATGTTATTTAGAATATGTAAATGTGTTAAAAATAAAATCAGACTATTAAGTAATAAGTACCATATTTACTTAAATAATTTATATTATTTGGAAGATAATATATGATTTTTTTCTAACGGTAACGTATTTTATAAATACAACTATTTGCTTTTCGATTGGATATATTTAGGAAAATAAATTGCGTATAATTAATAAAATTTCAGTTCAGTTTGACAGAGGTAAATAAATAAGTAATAATCGGTTATCTTGAAGTGGACAATATATGTGTTATAGAAAGGAAATTTAAAATTGATTATGATAATAAATCATGCTTTAAAAGTCATTGACCTTATAATATGTTTTAATTTCCAGCTGGCATTGCTTGCACTAATGTTCGTGGCGTGTGCGCATGGCAGGCTATTTGCATTCCTGAGACCTGCCCACAAGGCAGACTCGCAGGCCGCCGCTGCTGTAGTGCATTCTCAGCCGAGAATAGGATATGAACATCATCACATATCGGACGACCAGCATATTGATTATTATGTAAGCTTATAGATTTTAAAACACAAGGAAATTAATAACTGTCAGGATTATTATCCCAGAAGTGGTAGTCATCAGATGCGGTATCAATAGTCGATGTCGTGGTGAACACAACATTTGTCATGCTCACATTTTGCTAGATTAATTTTTGGTATGTTATCGGTGTCTCACAGGGGAGTCTGTTTTAAATGGATGATAATGATCAGGCCAGTTTATTGTGATGAATTTACCAGGAATTAATCATAAAGGTTTCTAGAGTGACCGAGTGAAGGTCGACATCATACATTGCTAACAGTTTCCCTTGTTATTTCTTATTCTCAATTACTAATCTCCCCTTCCGCTCATTGGAGAGTGAATCACAGATATAAATTACCATATTTTTTTTATAATCAGGTTTGAACTCTTAAATGTGAGTTGGTATAATCGCATATAACATAATATTACATAGTATAACTAAGTACTAGGCAACACCACTCATTTAAATAATTGAATAAATAAAGTTGGATGTGCATATTATATTTATTTACATCGAATTTACAGTTCTCAAGTTTGGGATACTTGACTTACTACAGACTATTTGTGAATGTTTATTTTTACACAATGTTTAGTTCCTATTAGAAATCAATTATATATAGTATTACAAATATAATTTTATCTACTCTGCAATGAAGTTTACACGAGTTATATTCAATTTACGAGTAGGTATTTGATATGTTCCATTCCACAGAGCATTGTAACTTGACTGTTGGCTTGAGCAATACGTTGCACTTTCATAGCCACTTTCCTCTTCAAACTCGGCTTTTTACTTAAAACAGCATATTATTACCGGATTAACATGTAATTGTTATCAATACTATTTATATATCCTGGATAATAAAAGTATATTTATTATTAGGCACTAAGTAAACTGTATATATTTCAATTCTTATGTTAAATAAAATCGTTATTTACAAAATTAAATGTGCATGAATCTCTTTCGATTCGAAACTACGTATGAGGCTGTACTTATAGTTTATTTCTTTTATACACAATTATATATTATAGTAATGCAACTTTTTCTATGTGGTTATCAACACTTTTAACTTATAAGAAAACATCTATAATATCTCGTAGTGGAGCATTCATTCATTCACAATTTAAGAGACGCACTCTTGTCAGTAGAGCTCTAGCTATTTTCCATTAATCTTATTATTTGCTGATAGGACACGACTCCAACTTTCTCCTTGATCTACTTAATATAGCTGTGTCTTTATAATCTCCTTCCCCTCTTTCCTTGTATTCAAAATTATAATTATACACATAAATGATATATTAGTCTATGTTGTATTTGTATATTAATGAGCTTCCGAATTGCCTTACGAGTATGTGCAGTATGTTTCGATCTGTGAATAGCGTTGAGGCTGAGTCCACATTACATTACATTATTGGCGTCGAAACATCGGACGTTCTTTGATAATATAATCATGGTAAATATCTCGTTTATCTAATGAGTATAATTATAAACAACTGTGAAAAATGTAACACAGTAATTATAATTATAATAGTATTATTATAATTTTATGAAGTGAGAATTTGAAGAAACTATTTCCAGCGCAAGATTCCGCTTGTTGACATATTCAATGCATTGCGTGTGATACTTTCGTGTATGGTACAAGATATAGATGGAAATAATTAGTGATTTGTGAATTACATGTTTTTGGATGTATAATAATAGTAGCTCTTTATGCACAGATAAACATCTGTGTAAAAGAGAAAGACCTTGTGCTCTGTCTATATGTTTAAGATTAAAAGCAGGATATTAAAATAAATGCAAATATCCACATCAATCCATAACTTCGTCTGTATTTCTAGAGGACAAGATTTGCCTATATCCATCCTAATAAAATCTAATCTTATCATAATACAACCTATCTTCACGCTAAATATAATTTAGATCCATTTAGCCGTTATGTCGTGAAAAGGTATTAAACACAAAAATACATATTTTCGCATTTTATTAATAGTATGAATAAAAAGTAATACAAATGAGAAACAAAATCGAAGGTACTCGTCCTTTAATTTTGTCTTTTCATTTATAAAATAACAATGTTACTTGTATCATTGTTGCCAATTGCTACAGGCGAACTAAGTTTGACTATCGCTCTCAGTTCGTAACTTACTATAATTCCGTAACAAAAAACCATTACGCAAGCGCAATGCATGCTGTGAAGATAAACGGTTTCACTACACGTAATAGAGTAATTTACGACGATGCAACTTTAGTTTTTGTGTGTACATGTTACGTCTCAAATTGATAAAGCAAATTTTGTTGCAATGAACTTCTTGTTAATATCTGGTTACTCATTATTACGCTATACACATTGTTATTATTAATTCATTAAAAGAAATTTTCAATAAAACGAAAAGTTATATTTTGATCTTCATCATAAAATTATTCATTATAATTTGGAACGCAGGTAGATTTTTAGTATTAACTGATATGACAATATTATCTAAAGGTAATCTTACAATTTATCAATAAATATCACCTGTCTGACATATTATAGATTACATATAGAAAACAAATTCAACCGCCCTCTATAGGTCTGCGATAATCTCAAAAACTACTGAACAGATTTTCATTCGGCTTTCGTTCACTAATAGAGTGACTTCTGTAGAAGGTCTAGGTGTATAATTCGTAAAGGTTTTGTCATTTAATTGATATAAGTGTACGAAACTGAAGCGGATCGCTTCGATATATACTTATAAAAAATGGTATTAATTTTGAATAATAATAATAGTATTAATACACAAATATGTCTTAATTGTCTTCCCTGTTACTATTACTGATTCTATAAACTACTAATAATATAGAATGTTGCATTTAAAGTTCTACTCATATTTACATTATAATGTTTACTTCCAGGCATATCCTAAGTATGTATTCAAGTACGGAGTGAACGACTTCCACACTGGCGACATTAAAACCCACCACGAGAGCCGAGACGGTGATGTCGTAAAAGGTAATTAAATATTAGTTTCACTGTACTTCCTACGAACGTTTCCTGCTTTCGTACTCAAGATAACCTTTTGTTTGTAAATCTCGCTTTGTCTCAACACAATATTGACAAGAAGATTTTTGTTTTATTCGATTGTCGGGTATTTATGACCTTACATTCCTCTTAAATTTAACATTTTATTTTATAAATATGTTTACGAACTATTTTCATTGAAATTATTGGACATAAGGCGCCAGGTTTAGCTATTATCATAAATTATTTATTAAAATAATAAGGAAGTATAAAATAAATATTATTGATCGCACAATGGTCGAAAATATAGATTATAAATATAAATTTTAAAAATTAATCTAATTTTTAAATTATAACATTATTGTGTTTCTATTATTGACTGACTGTTTACAGTTTTGTTTAAAAAAGAGTACATATATAATAATAATAATAATCGCGGACAATTCACACAGTGCAGCGTCGTCTAGTGCCAAGCCAATCAACATTTGTATTATGGGTACTAGACAAGTAACAGAAATACTGAGGTGCACTTTCTTAGAAATAAAACATCCAGACCAAAACAATAATTTGATTTTAAAATGCATACTGTATTTCGTGATATACTTAGTAAATTGCATACAATTTCAGGTCAATACACAGTTGTGGAGCCCGATGGTTCAATCCGTACTGTGGACTACACCGCAGACAAACACAATGGTTTCAACGCCGTTGTTCACAAGACTGCCCCCATATCGCCCCACGAGGCAGCACTCTTAAAACACTGAATTAGAAACATACCCTCCTATTTTAATACTGTTATATGTAATAACTTCAAGCGATTACTTTAATTTGAAAATGACGTAAAAGGAACGTTTTTTATCTGCAACTACTCTTTGTTTGGTCTCAAATTAAAATTTTCTGCCATTGGTCATTATTTAATGTCATAGTTCATCAATTGACGTTATTATTAAATAAATTAGGTACTATCAATATTTTCAATTAAAAATGTAATCTTATTATCAATTTGATGATTTATCACGTCATTACAAGTGAACTGTAAGAAAGAATTCGATTATTCTTGAATCCTATTACAGATTATTTCTTTTTACAATGGCATTTAATCGAATTTTAAAAATAGTTGATTTCGTTTTAAAATAAGCCATTCTACGTTATTTAGTTATAATCTATTTAATATTAGAATAATAAGATGTTGTTGAAAGATTGCTGAACTCAAGTTTATGAAAGTTCACAGTCTTGTTGTTTTTATTATTTTATCGTTTCTGTTATGCCTGTAGTTATTTATTCATAACTGTTAGAACTCGTACCTGATCTTAATTTTAAACTTTGTTTATATTTTAATTAGCTTTAAAGATTATGCTGTTATTGGTTTTGTAATTGATGTTATTGTCAATAAAACTGACTAAAATATTGAATAGTTTTATTTTGAATTTAATGCTTTTGTAAAATCCATTGATATGTATGTTAGTAAAGTTATACAAATATGAAAGAAAGCTACATGATATTATGAAACATTTACACATAACATACATTGATGTTATGAAAATCACGGGATTATACCGTGTTTTGTTTCTTTTTATTGAATTTACTATATTTCTCCAGTGTTATAACCAGTGATGATCACCAATAAATTGAAAAATAGGGGGTTGTTAGTAAATTATAGACAGTCACAGTTGTCCACCTTCATACCTCTTCGTTTTTGACAAAACTTTGATTAACGACGAGTTTGTTGTAAGTCGTTCGAAATCAGTGGGGCATTATTTCATAGAACGGATTTTTGCTTAGTACGGACATTGCATAAACGATTATCTGATCTGTTCTCGAAACTAAAATTTAAAAGTAAATATCTACACTAGCTAAGTATTACAAGTACAGCTGCCAAACCACACATGTGGCTCGTTTAATTAAATTAAATAGTTTTTAAAATTTTACATTAATATTCAAAATTACTGTTGATGAATTCTAAAATGACAAGATTAAAATAAATTGTATCAACAATCTATAACAAATTAATAAGTGTAAGATTCTGCCTAAAGCAAGATACATGTTTTATTTTCCTCCATTGTCGACAGATGGCAGATAGCCAATTAATGGTTATAAAAAAAACAAATAATGTTATGTTTATATTAGAGAAACATTTTAAAAGTATTTAGATAATGATTAAGACGGCGTGGTTAATTTACTTATAAAAAAGGTGGCAGCTCTAATTTAGAAAAATTAAATTTTTCTATTTAATCAACGATATCTAAAATACATTTATATAATAATATCTACGACAAACATGCCACACTTACCTCTATTTAGTATTTTGCAGATAGAGTCATAAGTGTCTAATATATTTAATAAAGATCTAGTGCATTTAGACATATGCTATTACTTTTTTATTATCCGATATTTGTTTGCTTTTTTTTAACATATCATTTGTAGGTTACTTATAATATAATAATAATATAATATAATAATCTCAGTACAATTCACACAGCGCCATCTAGACCCAAGTTAAGCTAGCTAAAGCTTGTGTTATGGGTACTAGACAACTGATACAAATACATAGATTTTTTTTTTCGTAAATACATACATATTATACATAGAAAATACCCAGACCCACACAAACAATTATACTCATGAATACAAATGTTTGTGCCGTGCGAGGTGCGAACCCGCGACCATCGGACGTAAAGCGGTGTACTAAACCACTAGACCACCGAGGTCATTAATTAAAACAGTCATTTAATAGTAAATGGAATCAAATAGACAGAGACACTCATTATTGTGAGTATGATTTCGACTTTGGAACTAATTTAAACAAAATGTTCTTTTTCTATGTTTGGTTCTATTTATAAGTACCATTATTTTAATAGGCTTGCATACTCTAAATAAGTGTAATGGAATACTCTAAATTCAAAATTAAGTTTATTTATTAACTAGTCTTAAAATATTATTTCAAGATCAAGTCAACTTGGGAAGGACATAACTAAATCAATGTTAATTGTATATGCAATTAAGCGCCATGGTATGTTCAAAGGTCAGTATAAAATCTCAAGATTATATCTGTAGCACCTATTCTTAAACGGCGTTTTGTTATGAATCGAAATAAATTGTAAGAAACATGTTTTTGTAGATTTCAATCTGCATACAATGTTCCTTCCTACATTGATATGGCAAAGGATGCAATTAAGTTTTACGTACTATAGGTGTCCAGAATTGTTTCACATTGTTTTTTGAAAATTCTAACTAATGTCTAATATAAATATTAATAACGCGATGAAGCTTGGTTGTCCTAGAAACCCTAGTGGTGTAGTTATTGTAGTTCTTGGTGTATTCGTCATGATTGTGTGATTGACATGGCTACAGTTTTTTTACCATCTTACTCTGGTGTTCCAGCAGAGTAAGCTCAGAACGGTACGCTATTCCATTATTATCCATCAAAAAACTGTAAAAGAATGTTAATTGAAGTTTTATCTCCTAAGGTCTTAATTGCTCAAATAGTCGTTAAGGAATTTTGTATAAATGTAATATCTGTGTATAAAAGAGAAAGATTATTTATTTTTTATCCCCTTTAATACTTATAACGGATAATTCACACAACGCCATCTAGTCCCATGCTAAGCAGAGCTTCTCTTGCGGGTTTTATGTAAATATGTATAGAAAAGACTCAGAAAGATACAAACAATTATACTCATGAATATAAGTGTTTGTACCGCACAAGGAATCGAACTCCCGACCATTGGAAATAAAGCGGTGTGCTATACACCTAGACCACGAAGCCGCCAAATTAAAATAATGTTTAATTGAAAATCTTATGTAATTAATCATTTGTATAAATATGTTTAGTTCCGGGACGCATCTAATTGATAATCTCCGAATAATCGTTTGTGTAGTAAGTGGAAGTAAGTATTTGGTAAGCGGACTGGCTATTGTTCCTATGTCTCAGGATGCAGACACTCTCATACAATGCACAGTATTTGACGGAACTGATGTTGTTTGGTTACTACAATGATCGCTGTTAGTTACGCTTGGCTTACTTCTGTATTTTTAAGACTTTGAATATATATTATTTACATCTAAAAGAAAAACATTACTTGCACTGAATCAAATTATTGGTAAATTTCAGCAAACGTTTTTAAAAGATTGCTACCAATATTGTTGGAGAAAAAGTGTTCAATTTCTGCAATGCGTATGGTATGAATATCATTGTAGATATATCAAACATGTATAATTGTAATACTTAGAATAAGGATACTGGTCCATCAAGACCAACATCCTTAACGTGAGGAGCCCATTCAAAACAGAAAGAACTTTTCCCGCATATTTCATAAGTAGCACTTGGAAATTGTTTAACAGAGGCAAACAATTTCTTAAAAAGTTACTTAGGGATTTTTAGAAAAAAACCCTGAATTGAGAATAAGCCGTGTATTTTGTGCATATAAATATATAATCGTTATGGATATATATAAAAAAGGTTGCATTGCGTCTGTCTATAAGTATACTCAAAAACTACTGATCGGATTTTCTTGCGGTTTTCATCGGACTTTCATCCATAAACAAAGATATGATTTCTGAAGACGAATGATAAATTTAGATGTAGCATTCATTAAGGTTGAATAAATTGGTTGAAATATTCATACGAAGGTGAGGCTACACGAAAACAATAATATTTTCGAATTAATAACATTGGCGGTGATATGTATATAAATCATTTAGGTTAGATTCAAAAAGTTATATAGACAGATACGTTATGTTTAAGTGCATCGACTTATTTTCTGATGGGTGAAGGACTATAAACAATAGATACAAGATTGTCCCACGATACTATCACGGTACATAGGTAGAACTAATACGCACGCGTGTTACATAGTGTGCTGTCATACAGACGTGAAAAACAGTATATATGAGATTACTGTGAATTCATACGAATTTATTTTTTTAAAACAAACCTATACGCGATAGGTTTATCTTACAAAAATAAAATTTACCTGTTAATACATAATTCATTAAGCAATAAGAATAAAATATACTAATATAAGAAATATGACGTTAATACAATGGCCTGGAAATACATTTAAGGTTAATAAATGTAATTATAGGTGGCATACTCAAAGACATGCCGAGGATATTTAGGTGTAGTTATGATTGGAAAGGTAGTCCACATGATCGACAGTGATATACGTAATGTGTAGGTATGAACATAATTATGTTTCTCTAACTTATAATAATTATTGTATTTAAAAAAGGAATAGGGAAAATGAATACAATTGATATACAACAACGAATATGTTGTTGTAAGTGGTAATTACAAAGAAAATAGTTAGAAAGAATGAAGAAAAATCATACGATTAGGGACGAAAAGGTCTATGGGGACAGAAAGAAAGGATAGAAAAGAAATGGCACAATAATAGCTTAATCATAAAATGCAGGTAACGTTATTATACCTGCTTTATGTTACTTTATAATTAAAATTAAACCATCAACTAATATGCTTCACAAAGCATATTAGTTTGTGGTTTTTTATATATCACGTATAAGTTCGAGTAGTAAATTTTCTTACATGCTGACATTTGAAATTCTGGTTATTATTAGTGACATTATTAATTATGTGGAAATCTAAAGTACAGTGTCATTCATTAATAAATTTATACAAAAGTGTAATCTACTAACTCTATGATTTTAGATTAGATCCTTCTTGCATTTTATGTTTTTAAATCAAGGACAGAGAGGAATTGAAAAGAAACCCACTCAAAATTGGTATGCTAAGCACTTCCTTACAAACTGAGATGAGATCATAATATTTCAATTTATGGCATAACTATATCTTTACATGGCTTCCATAAAATTAATGTCACAATCTAATCTACATAGCGCGGGTATTGTGGCGTGCGAAACTTTTCTCAATTAGTCGTTGCCGGTACTAGTGATGTCCATTAATATTGCTATATTTTATCGAGATACGTTCTTTTATTTTAATACTTCTGTTTTAAAAGAATAAGAATATATAATGACTACCTTCCTGAATATACTAACATCCTATATTACACTATGTTTACGCCGATCCCAAATGAATTTGATAAGGGAGAAGCAGATGATAATAATATCTTATAAACATTATCTAAATAAAAAAATCTCTTTATTTTATGCTTATAGCTCTTTGCTAGCATTTTGTAGAAATTATTTAGCAGTCAAAATTGGTCTGCAAGAATCGCATGTGTATGAATAATAAAAACACTATAGGTACCTGCCAAAGTACTAATGTTGATCTCAAAATATACACTTGTTAATGTAATTGAAATATACATATATTTCGATTACATTAATAAGTGTATAACTATGATAATAATACGGACGTATCTTGTTAATTTAAAATTTGCTTTTAGCTGAATTGGAAAGAGCTAGGTTAGCTAAGGTTAATATAATTCTTATCGATCTATTCACCGAATTAGAGTTATACAGTATTAAAAATGTTTAAGTAATAAAAAAAAACTTTAATTTGTTAATGTATCGCGTGAAAATCATGTGAATATACACATCACTAGTAAGCACCTAAGGAAACTTAATTTTCGGAAGCTAACTCCGCCTATCAAGGTTGGCACTCACTGGCAAATAAGGCCATTTATAAATGCCTGTGAACCCTCTATTGTGTTATTCTGGGAACAGACATCAGGTGCAATAGACGTGTTAGCCCTTTCAGTGTTGTGATCAAATATGGGGAGGTACCAGTGTTTGTTAGTTTTAGCTATAGTGAGTGCAGTACAGACGAAACAGAAGATTCCTGTATATGGTCCGGGATACGAAGGATATAAGGATCATTATGTACGTATTTTAATCTATACTAATACGATAAAGGATATATCTAAAAAATCAATAATTACTTTTAAAAAATGTATCAGTTACAGAATCTTACATAATCAGCGATTAATATAGCTAATAATTTATTAAAACAGTAATTAACTATCTCTGCAACAAGTGCATCCATGTGCTACATATATATGTAGCAAAGAAGTGTCTTTAGTATTTTATTAAAGAGATATTAAATACTAAATCAATATAAATTATTTATTTCATATACTTTCATACTATCTAATAAAACCTATACTATCATTTTAAATTATCCCGTAATGTTTCTTATTACCAGTAAACAATTAGACTAACTATTAAATTGATATTTTGTATTTCTTGCCACACACAAGGTTCTTTATGGCTAGATGTTATTTACAGTTTAAATACGTAACTACAACGGAGCTTTTGATTACTTGTATGTGCATTGGGTATTTCCAGAATATGCACAGAGTGACACTAACTGTAGATAGGTTGCTTGTAATCTTGTACTTGTCGGGGACAAGCTTATATATGTAGACTTGAGACAATAGATATATTTAATCAAATACTAATTATATTATATTAGATTAGATAAATCTAATTGTATCAGATAAATATATAACAGCTCTTGTCATATTTATATGAAATATTTTATTTTACTTCTAATATATATAATGTAATTTACACAGGATAGATCTAAACTAGATACCGATAAACTCAAAAAGGCATAAATTAAAATCGGTTTTGGATTGGAAACATAATGTTCATGTATAAAATATAAAAATAGTAATATAATCGGCGCCTTATTTTTTTGGGAATTTAGGGATGTCTACTTTCATTATATAAATACATGTGCAACTATGAAAATATTTTAGGATCACCCCAAATATGCATTCAACTATGGTGTAGCAGATCATAGCACGGGAGATGTGAAATCACAGCATGAAACCAGAGATGGAGATGTAGTTAAAGGTAAGTTAAGTTATTAAGTTTACCGCCTCGGTGGTCTAGCGGATTTGGCTCACCGCTTTACTTCGGATCGTCTCGGGTTCGATTCCTCGCACGGTACAAATATGTGTTTTATGTTAAATACATACATAATATACATAGAGTATATTATGTATGTATTTACAAAAAATATATATCTAAGTATTTATATTAGTTTTCTAAAAAAGTTCTGCTTACCTTGGGACTAGATGATGTTCTATGAATTGTGTATGGGCATTATTAAGTTAATTTATAGGACAAATGAGATAATATTAACATATTAATAATATATTTTGACTACGAAGATACTACCAATTATATATATGCTTAGTTAGGACACATTATGGCACTGCCTATTCATAATCACAAACAATCATCATCTATCATACAGATCGACCTAAAGTTGGTACATTTCAGTCAGGCTGAGTATATCTTGTGAATTGTCTTTGACAAATAGAATAGTTTCCTATAATTACATCCGTGCGAAAATTAAGATAATAAATATTTCCATAGACAATAATTCTAGATATTAGATAAAGATGTGAAACACGTATTCTTAATTTAAGATTCGGTTATTTTGTTGAAGTTGAGTATTCCTACATTGATTGACGGCTTCGTTGGCCTCTCGTTTTAGCACAGCACATTATTTCCGATGGTAGCGTGTTCGATTCCACGAATGAAATAATTCAATAGTTAATTAAACATATGTATATAAATACAATAAGGCGGCCTTATTGTTGAAGGCAATCTTTTTAAGACAATCTCAGGGAATCAGGTAGAATTGTAGAATATAGTATGTGACTTCATTTGCCACATTTAATCTCAATATTGAATTATTTATTCAATTAGTATATTGGCACAGTACATAATACTTTTAAGATAGATGCCTCTTAAATAAACCAAAGTATTATGCTGTTTTTATTATCCGGTTACGCAACACGTGTTATTGTATGCACTGTGGGTGATTAAATCTTTGTGCCTATTCGTTAATAGCTTGCATTGTTGTTTGTTGCACTACGCCAAGTTATGTCGCTGTTGAATAAGATGCTAAGGAAAAAAAACAACACAACACAAAGTAAGTGGTGCTTTTGTACAGTTGGTGGAATACCAAAATTTCATATTTGAACTGTGACATTGTAGCTTATTTACAATTAGTATTGTTGTGTAGTACCTTGGTCAGGCAATTTATATAGATATAAACTTTAAATGGCCCAAAGCAATGCATACCTCATGTGTTATTCATGGGCGGTATCTATATTTTAGATTTTTATAGCATTTATATCTAAGATATAAAATAGTCGGAGTATTATGCTGTTCTATTATCAATGTAAATGTTTGCTTGGCGCTTTAAATGGTTAAATAATCAGAACGAACGGATTATAACTAATATTTGGCAGGAAGAAGAATGTTGCGCATTCTTTATTGTGTTTTGCAAAGGATACCGTTATTAAAACCCAGTATAAAATAGATTTTTTTTATGGATGATAATGGATTGGTGGTCCAGCCTGCGCTAGCGGTTTACGCTGGCGGGGCACCAGTGGAGGATGATAAGATGAGCATGAGGTCAGGTCAGTTAGCCCATCGTGACAAATTCACCATGAATTTATCATCTCCACGCGGTTCCAAGGGGGAACCGCGTGGAGGTCAACCTGACATGGTACATTGCTAGCAACAAGATCAGCAGTCCACATTACTAACCATCCTCTTCCCCCAGTATAAAATAGGTTTTTTTTTTGTGGATGATAATGGAATGGTGCACCCGCCCGCGCTAACGGTTTACGCTGGCGGGGCATCAGTGGAGGATGATAAGATGAGCATGAGGTCAGGTCAGTTAGCCCATCGTGACAGATTCACCAGGAATTTAACACGATGGTTTCCAGGGGGAACCGCGTGGAGGTCGACCTGACATGGTACATTGCTAGCAATGGGGTTATCAATCCACATTACCAACAATCCCCTTCCCCCCTATAAAATAGGTTAAACGTTTCTACAAAGCATAAGTATGGCCATTCTATATAGTATTACATTAAAATAAGCAGTACGCTTTCCTATTTTACAGGTCAGTATTCCTTAGTCGAACCAGATGGTTCAGTTAGAACTGTGGACTATACTGCGGATCCTGTACATGGTTTCAATGCAGTTGTATCTAAGACTGGACCCAGCGTACATGCTCCACCACCACCACCACGTGTTCTCCCACAGATCAAGCCTGTGGTACAATATGTAACTAAACCCATACCTGTACCTGTGGAGTTGCCGCAAAATATTTTTATGCCACGAATATATCCATCGGGATCACCTTTCTGTAAGTCTGTCATTTTTGGTATAAAACTTGTTTCATTATTTATTGAATGTTCTATAATTATACTCAAGTAATTCCATAAACAATGTACAAAATATGTATATTTAGTCCATTATATTCAAAACTATTCACACAAAACTTAAAAGGACATAAAATAGTATATGTATAATATGCTTAAAACGCAATGCCAAATTTCTTAAATATTTTACTTCATCAAAATACTATTCAAAAGTGCTTGTATTAAGTAATAATTTTGTTAAAGAAATAGAAATAGAGATTATTTCTATTTATTTAATATTACTCAGATATCCATGAGGTATGAATATGAAGAGCAATTCATGTTTTATCTTCTTATTTCTATTATTTTGTAATAATAATATTGTGTAATAATATATTATTCTATTTTGTTGTAATTATCTATTACACATATGTTATAAAAAAAAGTAAAACAATACCTTGTGTTTTGATTCGATGGATTTAGGAAAGTATTGTTATAGCTAATGATGGTTACGAAATACACAAATGTATTGTATGTCTGAGTATTAGTTGTACCTAATTGTTGATTATTATTTACAATGGTATTTATTTTCAGTGTTCCCCAAGGCCGTACCACAATTTCCGGACTACGATGGATTTGATGTCGACAGCCCTTTTTCCATACCACCTGGAAGTTTTTATTAATTTATTTTTATGATATGCAAATAATTTATTAATTTAGTTCTAGATGTAATGTACTATTGGACTCAATTATTTAATGCATATTGTATAATAATTATATAATTTTTAGTGCCAAGTTTATATTACATTTAATTACATACATACATTGTTATGTATCTCAATTATTGATGTTATTTTCAGACAGTACTGTTATTGAATAATACTCGAATACTCAAAGTACTTAATTAATAAAACTATTTAGGAGTATATAGGAAATGACAATATTTTTTTTATGCAAATATTCATTTCTATAAGGTCTTCCTGCATTTTTGTGTCTATTTATGCACTTTAAGTGCATGCATTTGTTTTTTATTAATATTATGTGGTCAGTATTACACAAAAGAGGTTTTGAGAATATACTCGTATATAAATTATTAGAAGGTGAATTATAAATCAAATTAATACAAAATAAATGTACCCTTTTATGTAACGAACATTATCCATTTCTTTATATTTTTGTTATTTTTTATTATTATGTATGTAATATTTAAATGTTATGAAGCGAAAACTATTTAATAGAAACCACATGTTTATTATTTTAAAAGAATATTACGTATGTTTATTATTAGGTATCAGGAACCTACGTTACTGTCAATTATATCAAAAAAGAATATATATATTGTAATATAGTGTATTGTATATACATACATAATGATATTAAGGTTACAGCGGTATTAAATGACAAAATGAAAGGAGAAATAGTATTTTTTTATTAAATGTCCAATTTTAGCTATCACTTAGGAAGCCTTAAAGTGATTTAATATACATACATCACCTTCTGATTATCACAATATCGATTCCAATGTAAGCACTGGTAAATCAAGTACTAGGAGCTTACAGAATCATTATTATTATCTTTGTAGTATGTTAATACATTATTAGCTATTATAGTACCAAAAAAGTTCTAAGAAAAGCTGTTCCGAACAGTAAATTGGTACCTACTACCAGCACTTGCATTAGGTATACTGAATATGTACCTGCTTAAGTTTACGAGCTAAATTACTTACCTGAACTTATGTCACGTGTACGCCTGATGAAAAGATTACACAATTGTTTTCACATTTCAATATACAAGCAGAAAATATTGAATAATTATTGCATGGTCCCAGCATCTCTTATTTTTCTAAAACGATTTATACGACCAATAAAATGTTTTATGAAACAATTGATTACATTTATAACTTTAAAACATAATTTAAATCAAAGATTGAAAACATGTAGTAGGAAAGCAACTGAACGATATTTCGATCAGGCGTAACATACTGCAAAGATAAGTTACAAATTTGCTCATAAAGTTAAATAGGTACATTGTCGTTGTACCTGATCAAATTCCTACTATTCGTTATGGAACAAATTTCGTATGCACAATGAGAAAAATAGGACCCCTAAGGTTTTTTATAAAATAATGAGTAGTGCTTGTAAAGACATGATCCAAAGATATTTCATAGGAGGTTACTTTTATTTTCTATTCCAAAACACGGAAAACTTTTCTATTTAATTTTAGATTAAACAATAGTCCGATAAAATTACCCTGAGCACGCCATGCTTAGTTGTGACAGCATTGGCCTGCGGTCTTTCTTATATCGCAAAGAAGTATTTGTTTCTTCACAGTGACATATTGCTACATTATAACATCAGGCGTAATTGTAATTTGTGATTTATTTACTGGATATCAATGTGATAGTGATGTTTTACTGGCGGGGCATCAGTGGAGGTTATTTTTTATATTACTATGGCGGTAAATCAGCATACGGACTATTTGATGGTAAATGGTTACCGTACCCTATGGATGTCTGAGACAGAAACCTTAATATAAGGTTGGTAAGATGAGAATGAAATTAGGTCAATGAAAATGCGTTAAAATTTATTACGATGGTTTCCAGGGAAAATCTCGTGAAAGTCAACCGTCAACGTGGCATGGTCATTGTCCAGATTACTACTTATCTCCTTTTTCCTTAATATTAATTATAACAAGTTACGGTAATTATATAACGCAGTTTAAGTACTTATATAAAATGGACTTATGTTATGTGTATGATACTTAATACTTACTACATTTACTTCGTTCCCTTGAAAATAATTACACTAGCCAATAATTTGCTTGCATCTGGAGTGGGTTTTGTTCTTCATTAATATTGCCATTATGCTATTTCGGCCATTTGTCCTATCACAATAATACTATATGTATAACTGTCATGTATCAGGTTGTATTTTATTTACCATATTTACACCTCTAGCTACATCTTTAAAAAAAATACTACATTTTAGATTTGTTCATTAAAAACAAGTGATTGAAAAACATAATAGCGATAATCTCTAATACATAATTAAATTTATTATATAATAAAAAATATACATGTTTTTGTATTTTTATAGGAACGTTTCTGTAAGTAGAGCAAGGTCAAAAGGTTTGTTTACAATCATACATCGTACCGTCATTACATTATTACTCGTGTAAATACATTCAAATTGCAATTCATATAATTAACGTACTGTTACATTATTTACTATTTCAACTTGATCAATTGAGTGTAAACAAAACTATTGGGCAATGAATAACCCAAAAATTATATATGTATAATAGTATGCAATGCTAAGAATTCTGCTCAAGAACAAATCGTGACTGAATGTATTAAGTCCGGAACGTGGTACTAACTCATCTTCCATTTTATTAGGTAGTTTTTTCATACACTTCACGCCAAATTTTTATACAAACCGTTAAATTAAATTTTACAGTCCCACTATTTAAATATACATTATTTCTTTTGGCAATTAATGTATTACGAAAGGAAATTAAACATCTAATATCTATACATTATATAATAAAAAATGCTGTCTGTATAAAGAATATATACGAAAAAAAACATTATTGTGGTACTCTTTTGAGGTAAAAGAACATATTTTTTACCTTAATAATAATAACGACCCCTGATAATTCACACAGCGCCACCTAGTCCCAAGCTAAGCAAAGCTTATGTTATGGGTAATGGATAACTGATACTTACATACATTATTTTGTAAATACATACATAATATGTATAGAAAATATCCAGAAAAAAAATACTCATTAGTACATTTGTTTGTACTTTGCATGAACCCACGACAATTTTAAGTAGTCTTTCTTAGAATTTTTGTCTGTTTGGTTATTCGTCTGTGCTGGCAAATATCTTAAAAATCCCTTAAGTTATTTAAGCGTGGTGTACACTTTTATATATTTAAGCGCAGTTTAAAAACAAAAAAGTTGTCTAAACATTTTTAAATCAGGTTATAATACCAATATGTCGAATGAAGTCGAGGGTTCAGCTAGTTGTAAATAAATGCAGACACTTACTAAATCTACATATATCAATATTATAAATATTTGCATTCCGAGCAAATTAGCGTGATCCAATAAAGTTATTGACTTGTGATTTAAAATTTTATTATTCTTGTTCTTTTAATGGTAAGTTTCGATATCGTTCACTTATGATGACAGTATATCATTAATAGTTAATTACCAAGTTCTTGTTGTTCTACTTATATTTCTAAGAGTAACAGATATAATTTTTTTTATTTCTAATAAACACAGTTATTTCTGTAATGATCGTTATATATATTTAAAAAAGAGAGCTGGTCATAAAGTAACAACGCATATCTAAATTTTGTAGTTGCAAAATAGAATTTAATAATCAAATTTGCATTTACATTGCATTTTAAATTTTATGATAAATGCTTAATTATTTTCTTAATTACAACTCCATACAGTGAATATGAAAGTATACAATTATTATCAACTTTATAGTATATTGATTTATTCTAATTATGTGCTCGATTTTTTTTTGAAAATATTTTTTTTTATATTTTATCGAAATTTGTAATATTGGTATACATTTACAGTAATTGAATATTGTGTCAATGTCATTTAATTTTAAATAATTTTGCGGTATTAAACTTGAAATATAAATTTGAGAGATATCAATATGTTTGCACTGCAGTGTACTATGGTTGCATTGAATATATAGAGGTCGTGACTTATTGAACCATCGTTACACCGATACTAAAGCAAAAAAAATGATAAGAATCAAATACCTAAGTATGATCTTGGAATGCAGTGAATTATTCGATAGATATTATAGTATAATCGAATTAGTAGGTGTTATCGACTGCTATTGTGAGATATAACAAGGACGGAACAATAAAAAGAGAGTCTTTACAGGTATAAACAGTACCCCGAACATCAGCAAACAAACTGTGTGCTACAATTTCCGTAAGCCGTAAGGCGTTAAGTCCGCCATATGTACTTTTACCTTGATATTTTGTGCATTGAAATTACATAACTAAATAAATAAATAAATACAATTTCACACATCAAAACGAATTTAATTAAATGATGATGAAGCTAAATGGGATTAAACATTATCAATACCAAATAGTATATAACTAATTTCTGGTTTAATTTTTGGCTTTAGACCATAAATTTTATAACTTCTTGTATATGAAATTCGCAATTAATTAAACATCACTGATTAAAAGTAAAAACACTTGTGTTCAGAAATAATAATTGTATTTTACGTTAATTAAATATAGTAAACATGTCCATTTAATTACAACACAAGTGTATTTGGTATGAACGTAATCTGCGCTAACACTATTTGGATAGTGACATTAAAAACTATGAGAACCTGTAGACCTTTCGAGTTGTTACCACGACACCCATCCACAATTCGTCTTACGTTACCAATACTAGGTAACAGAATTGTCTATAAAACACTAGTGTTGATTGGATGTACTTAATTACTGAATGCAATAGGCAAATTTTATATGAGTGTTTCAAAGAATTGGTTTCGAAATATTAATTGTGGGCCTGACCGCACTTAGAGGATATTTTATAATGAATCATTTCAAGATAATATTTCGTTTCAAAGTAGTCTATAATTTATAGTGTGTATTTAAGTTTAGAGCAGGCAAATTGCAACCTGAATTGATATTAATGTCAATATTATGCACAATTGCACGCAGAATTTGCGTTTATATACATTTATTATGCCAAAATATGATGTTGAAAATGTCATGTCTATTCATATAATTTTTATTCAGATCAAGTTGCAGCTAAAACAATTTATTAAAAATATAATTTATTTATATTTTGTTTCTAATAGACAGGTTTAATGATTTCCGGTACTACTACTATACATATACATATATATACTATATACTAGGTCTACATGTACAAGGGATACTTCTAATATATTTATGTATATTAAACAAGAAATAATTATATACTTCAATACAATATTAATATATAACAAACGAATTTGAATCCTTACATATATGTATATATATATATATATATCATTAATCATCAACCATGGATGTACTATTTTAACCTCATTACACACTCACTTGTATTGTTTGCCA